CTAGTGTCTGTGGCCCTGATGTCTCAGTGTCCCCATGTCTCCTAGTCCCCCCATGTCTCAATGTCCCCATGTCCCGCAGCCAGTGTCTCTAGTGTCTGTGTCCCTGGTGTCTGTGTCCCCATGTCTTCAAGTGTCCCCTATTTTCCCATTGTCCCCATGTGTCCCAGCCAGAGTCCCCTAGTCTCCCAGTGTCACTGGTGTCTCCGTGTCCCTAGGTCTCCCTGTGTCCCCAGGTCTCCCCGTCTTCCTAGTGTCCTAATGACATGAGGACCCTAGGATACATGGGGACTCAGGGAGACATGGGGCATTCAGACACTGTGATACATAGGATCACTGGGAGACCTGGGGACATGACACTAGGGGACACTGGGAGACATGAGGCACTGAGACACTGATACATAGGAACACTTAGACCTGGAGTAATCGACACATGGGGGCACTGAGTCATGAGGGCACTGGGAGACATGGGGGCACTGGGAGGAATCCATCTATACAGTAGAATCAAACTAAGTAGTTTTTTGGTGATTTTACAGCATTTTTTCTTATGTCACTTCTTGTGATTTACATCATTTGATGTCACCCATACATATTTAATTATGCAAATTAGTAAGGTTGGTATGTTTTTCCAAGAAAGGTGGCAGCCCTAACTACTTTTCACATACTCTTACTTAAGTATGGAAACTTAAGAGGGATGTATGGGAACAAAACTTGTGTGGACTGGCTGACAATGAATATAGTTAAAGGGACACTAGAGTCACCAGAACAACTACAGCTTATTGAATTTGTTCTGGTGAGTAGAATCATTACTGTCAGGCTTTTTGCTGTAAACACTGTCTTTTCAGAGAAAATGCAGTCTTTACATTACAGCCTAGTGATAACTTCACTGGCCACTCCTTATATGGCTGTTAGAGATCCTTCCTGGGTCATTGCTGCCTAAAATGCATCAAAACATTCAGTGTCTCCTCCCTCTGCATGCAGACACTGAACTTTCCTCATAGAGATTCATTAATTCAATTCATCTCTATAAGGAGATGCTGATTGGCCAGGGCTGTGTTTGAATCATGCTGGCTCTGACCCTGATCTGCCTCTTTGTCAGTGTAAGCCAATCCTATGGTGAAGCACTGTGATTGGATCAGGCCACCACTTCTAATGATGTCAGCAGACTGCTTGTTTTTATGAGTCTAACAGCATGCAAAGTTACAGCTTCAGGCTTGAATATAGTAAGATTTTGCTATATTTATGGAGGCATGAGGGGCCCAGGGGGGCTAGATGGTGGTGTTAACACTATAGGGTCATGAATTCATGTTTGTGTTCCTGACCCTATAGTGATCCTTTAAGGTAATGATGACTTTGGTCTCTCTAACACTGTGGCATGTTCCCTTTCTTCTACACTCACTATATACAACTTTTCTCTGTCCCAGACTATATACCAGGAGCTTCTGCCTTCTACTAAGAAGGTAAGGAGACAAGTGGACTAGCGAGTGCTAGGGGACAGTCCTTAGAATGCGTTGAGTGAGCCCATCATTAGATGCATTTATGCCAAGCTCAGGGTGTTGTCTGCATAGTATGCCCTTAGTTGGCCAGCTGCATGATTGGCAGGCAGCCTGACATGCATTCATGCCAGGTTGACCTTCTAATTCTTTGGGCAGACATATCCTCTTTTTGGGCATGTTCGCCCCATTTGGCAGGTTACGTGATTTGTGTCAATGGCACAACCTTTTACCTTCCTGCTTGACTGGACACTGCTGTTAGGGGTTATGGATTTACTTGAAAGATGAAAACATAAATTAGAGAGAGATTAGCCTAGGGTATGTGTTTTCTTATAGCTGATGTTTTCTATCTCTCCAGCACCATCTTTATCAGATACATGACGCTTGGGAATGTTTTAGTGCTTTTGGTCGATATGATTCTGTAATTAGGCCCGTCATAATTGTCAGCACCAGGCCCACTGGGCTCTTAATCTGGCCCTGCATACAGGGTGACTGTAATCCCTTACTGCACACTAATGCCTCGTTTCCACTGAGCGGAACGGTTCGGGTCGGTTCAGTATGCTATTTTGAGTGTTTCCATTATGAAAGTGGCCCATACAACCGAACCATTCCTGGTCTTCCTTCAGATGTAGGACCATAGGAAATGGTATGGTACGGTTAGGGCGGAGCTACTAGCGTCACACTATGCAATCCATTGATTGGCGGGCAGGAAAACATCAATGCTCACGACCTATGACATGCTAGGCTTTTGGTCTAAACCCCGCATGGCCCTTGTCAGTCCGACTTGCAGGAAACGCTCACCTGAATAGGCTGGACCATTCTAACCCTTCCAAACTGTACTGACCCAAACCGTTCCGCTCAGTGGAAATGAGGCATAAGTGAGCAGGTTATACAGATTGCTAGTCCCATGCAAGAGCTGTTATACAGGGAGTGATCCCATATTGAGGTGTTATACAGGGAGTGATCCCATATTGAGGTGTTATACAGAGAGTGATCCCATATTGAGGTGTTATACAGAGTGTGATTCCATATTGAGGTGTTATACAGGGAGTGATCCCATATTGAGGTGTTATAAAGAGTGTGATCCCATATTGAGGTGTTATACAGAGTGTGATCCCATATTGAGGTGTTATAGAGGGAGTGATCCCATATTGAGGTGTTATACAGAGGGTGATCCCATATTGAGGTGTTGTTATACAGAGAGTGATCCCACATTGAGGTGTTGTTATACAGAGAGTGATCCCATATTGAGGTGTTATACAGGGAGTGATCCCATATTGAGGTGTTATACAGAACGTGATCCCATATTGAGGTGTTGTTATACAGAGAGTGATCCCATATTGAGGTGTTGTTATACAGAGTGTGATCCCATATTGAGGTGTTGTTATACAGAGAGTGATCCCATATTGAGGTGTTATACAGAGTGTGATCCCATATTGAGGTGTTGTTATACAGAGAGTGATCCCACACTGAGGTGTTGTTATACAGAGAGTGATCCCATATTGAGGTGTTGTTATACAGAGTGTGATCCCATATTGAGGTGTTGTTATACAGAGAGTGATCCCATATTGAGGTGTTGTTATACAGAGTGTGATCCCATATTGAGGTATTATACAGAGAGTGATCCCATATTGAGGTGTTGTTATACAGAGTGTGATCCCATATTGAGGTGTTGTTATACAGAGAGTGATCCCATATTGAGGTGTTGTTATACAGAGTGTGATCCCATATTGAGGTGTTGTTATACAGAGAGTGATCCCATATTGAGGTGTTGTTATACAGAGTGTGATCCCATATTGAGGTGTTATACAGAAAGTGATCCCATATTGAGGTGTTATACAGAGAGTGATCCCATATTGAGGTGTTATACAGGGAGTGATCCCATATTGAGGTGTTGTTATACAGAGTGTGATCCCATATTGAGGTGTTGTTATACAGAGTGTGATCCCATATTGAGGTGTTATACAGAAAGTGATCCCATATTGAGGTGTTATACAGAGAGTGATCCCATATTAAGGTGTTATACAGGGAGTGATCCCACATTGAGGTGTTGTTATACAGAGTGTGATCCCATATTGAGGTGTTATACAGAGTGTGATCCCATATTGAGGTGTTATACAGAGAGTGATCCCATATTGAGGTGTTATACAGAGTGTGATCCCATATTGAGGTGTTATACAGGGAGTGATCCCATATTGAGGTGTTGTTATACAGAGTGTGATCCCATACTGAGGTGTTGTTATACAGAGAGTGATCCCATATTGAGTTGTTATACAGGGAGTGATCCCATATTGAGGTGTTGTTATACAGAGAGTGATCCCATATTGAGGTGTTATACAGGGAGTGATCCCATATTGAGTTGTTATACAGAGTGTGATCCCATATTGAGGTGTTATACAGGGAGTGATCCCATATTGAGGTGTTATACAGAGTGTGATCCCATATTGAGGTGTTATACAGGGAGTGATCCCATATTGAGGTGTTGTTATACAGAGAGTGATCCCATATTGAGGTGTTATACAGGGAGTGATCCCATATTGAGGTGTTGTTATACAGAGAGTGATCCCATATTGAGGTGTTATACAGGGAGTGATCCCATATTGAGGTGTTGTTATACAGGGAGTGATCCCATATTGAGGTGTTGTTATACAGAGTGTGATCCCATATTGAGGTGTTATACGGGGAGTGATCCCATATTGAGGTGTTATACAGAGAGTGATCCCATATTGAGGTGTTATACAGAGTGTGATCCCATATTGAGGTGTTGTTATACAGAGAGTGATCCCATATTGAGGTGTTGTTATACAGAGTGTGATCCCATATTGAGGTGTTGTTATACAGGGAGTGATCCCATATTGAGGTGTTGTTATACAGGGAGTGATCCCATATTGAGGTGTTGTTATACAGAGTGTGATCCCATATTGAGGTGTTGTTATACAGTGTGATCCCATATTGAGGTGTTATACAGAGTGTGATCCCATATTGAGGTGTTGTTATACAGTGTGATCCCATATTGAGGTGTTATACAGGGAGTGATCCCATATTGAGGTGTTATACAGGGAGTGATCCCATATTGAGGTGTTGTTATACAGAGTGTGATCCCATATTGAGGTGTTATACAGAGAGTGATCCCATATTGAGGTGTTATGCAGAGTGTGATCCCATATTGAGGTGTTATACAGAGAGTGATCCCATATTGAGGTGTTGTTATACAGGAAGTGATCCCATATCGAGGTGTTATGCAGAGTGTGATCCCATATTGAGGTGTTATACAGAGTGTGATCCCATATCGAGGTGTTATACAGAGAGTGATCCCATATTGAGGTGTTATACAGAGTGTGATCCCATATTGAGGTGTTATACAGAGAGTGATCCCATATTGAGGTGTTATACAGAGAGTGATCCCATATTGAGGTGTTGTTATACAGAGTGTGATCCCATATTGAGGTGTTATACAGAGAGTAATCCCATATTGAGGTGTTATACAGGAAGTGATCCCATATTGAGGTGTTATACAGAGAGTGATCCCATATTGAGGTAAGCAGGCAGGAGAGGATCCCATATTGAAAAGAAAGTACAGAGTGTGATCCCACATTGAGGTGTTATACAGAGTGTGATCCCATATTGAGGTGTTATACAGAGAGTGATCCCATATTGAGGTGTTATACAGAGAGTGATCCCATATTGAGGTGTTATACAGAGTGTGATCCCATATTGAGGTGTTATACAGAGTGTGATCCCATATTGAGGTGTTATACAGAGAGTGATCCCATATTGAGGTGTTATACAGAGTGTGATCCCATATTGAGGTGTTATACAGGGAGTGATCCCATATTGAGGTGTTATACAAAGAGTGATCCCCATACAGGTGCGGCGGCACAGAGTGTGATCCCATATTGAGGTGCGTGTTATACAGAGAGTGATCCCATATTGAGGCAGCAGTGGCACAGAGTGTGATCCCATATTGAGGTGTTGAAGTACAGAGAGATCCCATATTGGAGGTGTTGCTGGCACAGGGAGTGATCCCCATATTGAGGGGGTGTTGCACAGGGAGTGATCCTATTGGAGGTGTTGTTATACAGAGAGTGATCCCATGGCTGAGGTGTTTGCTATACAGGAGTGATCCCATATTGAGGTAAAGAGTACAGGAGGTGATCCCATATTGGTGTTATACAGAGTGTGATCCCATATTGAGGTGTTATACAGAGTGTGATCCCATATTGGAGAGGCAAGTTATATAGAGAGTGGATCCTGGCTATTGGCGGGTGTTGTGCCATATTAGAAAGTATCCATATTGAGGTGTTATACAAAGAGTGATCCCATATTGAGGTGTTGTTATACAGAGTGTGATCCCATATTGAGGTGTTATACAGAGAGTGATCCCATATTGAGGTGTTGTTATACAGAGTGTGATCCCATATTGAGGTGTTATACAGAGAGTGATCCCATATTGAGGTGTTGTTATACAGGGAGTGATCCCATATTGAGGTGTTATACAGGGAGTGATCCCTTATTGAGGTGTTGTTATACAGAGAGTGATCCCATATTGAGGTGTTGTTATACAGGGAGTGATCCCATATTGAGGTGTTATACAGAGTGTGATCCCATATTGAGGTGTTATACAGGGAGTGATCCCATATTGAGGTGTTGTTATACAGGGAGTGATCCCATATTGAGGTGTTATACAGGGAGTGATCCCATATTGAGGTGTTATACAGAGTGTGATTCCATATTGAGGTGTTATACGTGGAGTGATCCCATATTGAGGTGTTGTTATACAGAGTGTGATCCCATATTGAGGTGTTATACAGAGTGTGATCCCAGATTGAGGTGTTGTTATACAGAGTGTGATCCCATATTGAGGTGTTGTTATACAGAGAGTGATCCCATATTGAGGTGTTATACAGAGTGTGATCCCATATTGAGGTGTTGTTATACAGGGAGTGATCCCATATTGAGGTGTTATACAGAGAGTGATCCCATATTGAGGTGTTGTTATACAGAGTGTGATCCCACATTGAGGTGTTATACAGAGTGTGATCCCATATTGAGGTGTTATACAGAGAGTGATCCCATATTGAGGTGTTATACAGAGTGTGATCCCATATTGAGGTGTTATACAGAGAGTGATCCCATATTGAGGTGTTATACAGGGAGTAATCCCATATTGAGGTGTTGTTATACAGAGAGTGATCCCATATTGAGGTGTTGTTATATAGGG